CACAGTGTAATTAGTGCGTATACGTATATGCGGTTTGTATGTGTGTGTATGTAAGGGGGTCAGAGAGGGGGAAATGCAACACACGCTTGATCCGAGGGAGAGGAAAGCGCGTCACCGAAATCCGTGGTAGAGAGAAAAGGAGTTTGTTCCTTTTCTCCCTTCAATCTATAAACAGATAATATCATACTTGATTTGCAATGGCTTCGCCTTCTGCACCAATTCTTGCCATTTTAGCATCCTTACTACGTGGCCTCAGGTATCCCAAAAAAGTGATTCGCAGATACAGCCATAGTATAAAAGAATTAGTGACCATCTGTGGAATCGAAGCAGCCATCCAGTTGCCAAAAGTAATTGGATCAGCAGCAGGGAAATTGTATTCGTAGATACCTTTAAAGGCAAGATTCGTCGGCGTACCTACAAGTGCACCGGTACCTCCAAAGGACGAAGCGTACGCCGCCGCAAACAGATAAGCTTTTGTTAAGCTTGTCGGTTTGATATCCCTAAGGGGAAAAATCCTTTTTCGACGATGAATTGTAAAATTACCTTAATTTATTAAAATATACAAAAATGTGTTACATTTAAAGTACAATAGCAGACATTGTTTAAAAATGATAAGTTTAACCAACCCAGTATAGAGCAACTTCCCAGACAGTCAAATTTAAAGACATGTTTTTTCAGCGGTCTGCTATCTGACGGCAGAAAAACTAATTTCATAAATAATCTATAATATCTGATAATTTTTTGGGATTGCATTTAAAAAATTTCGAAAAATCAATGCAACACGTAATTTTTATGACGACACATGTATGTAATATCGAATTATTTAAGCACTTATGATTCAAGTTTGATCGTTAAAAGCTACTTTTTCTATTGATTGTATATTCACGTTGTGTAAGGAACAATATATTTCTTTCTTTAATATTATTCATTGTCATAACTTTGACAATATACATATATCAAGGCTAAGATCATTGGAGCTTGGTTCTTTATTTTATATATTTATCTAAATTATCTTTAGTTAGTTAAATTACAATACTTGCATTTTTCTTTCAATATACGTTCTTCAGTAAAATATAGGATATTTAAAATATTCATTTAATACTCACGGTTCAGCTTCCGGATCCTCTGGATCTTCCTTTATATCAAACACTTTTCCAAGTCCTTGCTGTAAAAGCAATAAAATTATCGATTTTCAACCAGACAGTAAAATTAATCCTTGAAATATAAATTCAGTATACATGGGTTGCTTCGAAAGTTTCCACAAAATCGTATACAATTGCATATTTTTTTAAATTGGCTTTATTGTTTCTCGAAATACTTCCCGTTACAATGAATGTACTTTCCCATTCGATAAAACCAATCATTGAAGCACATAAAAATTAATGTTATCAGTGATAATGTAAACGTAAATCAAAGGATGATAATTTAAAAAATAGAACACTGTGCATGCGTGCGTGTATGCACCAATAATATTTTGACTTTAAGCAAAACTTAAAACTTTCACTTTTTCTCTTCAAAACTAAGAGAGAAGGAAAGAAAAAAAGTTCTAACCCCCGCTAAAAGTAACATTACAACCAGGTCTTAGTGCATAATGGCCTTTATTATTCTTAAAATTTTAGTAAACATGAACATTTTATCATATTACATAGGAATGATTATTCATTTGATTAAAATTATCCATCATTAAAATATTTTTTGTTACATTATATTGTATTATCTGAGTAATGAAAATAAAATAACTTGTATATTAATACTTTTCAAATATACTGACCCTTTCCAATTCACGAAGTACAGCAAAGGCAATAGGTACCATCATGGCAGTAGCTGCTGCGTTCGCGATCCACATAGATATAAAAGTGGTTACTGTGCAAAGGCCACCGAGCAGTTTTGCGTGGCTGCACCCGAGCATCTTCATGACAATCAGAGCAATCCTCAGATGCAGGTTACAATGTTCAGTGGCAATAGCAAGTATCAAGCCGCTAATAAAGACCATAATGGTATCATTCATATAACAAACGCATGTTTCCTGAGTACTGAGGATACCAAATAGTGGAAATAACACTACAGGTATTAATGATGTAATTCCAATCGGTAAACATTCTGTTACCCAATATCCAGCTACCAGTAAAACAATATAGGCACATCTGACTTCCTATGCAAAATAGAGATTTAAAAATATTATAAATTAAAACTATCATATATTTATTTTAATTAATTCATTAGTTAATTAATGCATAGGGTATATAATAATTACAAGGATCGTTCAATAAGTCAGGTAAAAAAGCAAAAAATCACCTGTATTCCAAAAAATTCTTTTTCACTTTTCGACATAGTCTTCTTGGAGCTCTACACACTTAGTCCAGCGGTGTTTCAATTTTTTGATCTCTTCGGAAAAATCAATCTCGACCGTTTCGTTCGCAGCTCTTCGTACAAATGATTCAAAACTGTAGAATAATATTCTCTTGTGACTGACCTTTCTGTAAGTAGTCAAAATGAAGATGATTTCTTGGGAATCCCAAAAAACAGTGGCTATTATTTTCCCGGCCGACTGCTTTGATAGCTGTTTTGACTTGAGTATGTAGTGGTGAATCCAAGTCTCATCTACAGTCACGAATTGACGCCAAAAATCTTGTGGATTGTGCTTAAGCATCGACAAACATTGTTACGAAATGTCTTTCCACATGCGTTTTTAGTTAATGCCATGATCAACAATTGCGGCACCCATCGTGCACAAAGCTTATTTATTTCTAATTTTTTGTGCAGGATATTATGTACCCTATCTACTGAGATGTCTGCAATCTCAGCTATGTCACGCACCTTCATTCGACAATCTTTCATGACAATACGATGTATTTTTTCAATTATTTTTGACGTAGTGATTTCAACTGGACTTTCAACGTCTGCCACATATAAACTAAGCATCGTTTTCGATTAAAACTTGATATGAGGAAATTTGATTACTCCCCTTACTGCAGGTCATATATATATATATATAAAATATTAATATATATCAAATTTTCGGAAATGCTTTAATAAAAAGGTTAAAAGATTTTTTTTGGAATTTTGTGAAACTCAAATATTTAGAAATGAATTTAGAAATATTATGATAATTTCAAAATCGTAAATTATTAATTAAATTATAAATTCATATCAAAATCATAACATTGTTCTGTACAAATTAATTAAAATACTCACATTCAGCATTAAAATGATTAAAAAGTTACATAAGAATAATAACTTTCCATTGTACAATACATAATTAAAGTTACATTTGAAGATATTTTATATAATACAAATTTTTTAAGAGTTTTAATTTTATAAACTGATAGAAAAAAACATTTCCTATTTACCGAAGAATCATATACTACGATGAAGGGTAATAAAGATATAGCCCAACCAACAGCAAAAATAGTCCTCCAATATAACTTGAGAAAAATACCCGTTTGTTTTATATATGTTAATTGTAGTAGAGGAATTTCGAGCCTACAAAGAAATTTTATTTTAAATGAAGTTCCTATGAAATTAATCATTCTTTTTAAGATTAAAATTAAATTTCTAAATTCATAAATTGTTTTTACATAAATAATTTTTTATAGTAACAAATTATAATAGCCTGCGTCCTATCTGATGGTACATTTATTTTACGTCTTTGCAAAAATTTTTTAATATAAAGTTTTGTTTGTTACATTAGATTTTCACCCTTTTCTTGATAAAAGTAACAAAAGTATTATATTTACAAAATAATATCAAAGCCATTTTATATGTTACTTCAGAGAGAAATAATAAAATAGATTAAAAGATGAAAAAATTTATATTATGTAATACCTGTGAATTATATATGAACAATTATCAATGGTCGCGTTTAGCAGACTCAACTGTTGCAGAGCAGATCTGTGAGCGCTCGCTGCTATTGGCTGATCTAAAAGAATATACCAATAACAGTGAGCGCTCACAGATCCTTTCCGCAACGGTTGAGTCTGCTGAACGCAACCTTTATCATTTTTGTAATGAAAATTCATTTTTTTTACGTAAAAATAAAAAAATAAGTTACAACTTCCAATGACCTTGACCTTGACAAATGTCATCCAAATGAGAATTTTTAACAACGATCGAGAGATTTTAGCCATCATTTGGACATCTTGGGCAATGCTAATGCCGGCGATACTGTAACTTTCACTGTGTGAAATCGCTTGCGGTACTGTAACTTATAACTCGAAAAGTACTTGATGAAAAAATATTTTATTAGTGTTTTGGAAAGCTCTCGAGGTGTGCTACAAGAATATGCAATAAAAAATAGGGGGTTTCACATTTAAAAAATTCATGTTGACCTTGACCTGACCTTGGTAGTGCACCCTCTATCCGTTATTTTCACCTTCTTTCCCCCAAGAAAACCTACAACTCTTATATAAAACTTTTTCTTGTATCTCTTAATTTTTGAGATATTCACCCGAGGCGATTAAATGATACATTCTAAATATTATTGCTTAAGAACATTATATACATGAATAATTTTTAGCGTTGGTACTGGAATAGATTAAAATGACAGGGACGAGAACTTTCAAAAGAAGTTGCAACATATTTTTTTATTAAAATCGTTTTGATATATGAGTGATACCTTTGCCGTGTCTCAGATTTAATTTCGGCTTCATTTTCGGCTTCAAATACGATATTTACATCTTTTTCAGCCATAAATCAACGTTATTCTGCATAAGGGAATTACACTTGAAATACAGGTTACGATGTTTTGCATGTTACAAAAGAGAATCGAATATAGAATTTCAGGGATAAAAGCGCGCTTTTATCGATAAAAGTGCGTTCAGAATACGAGCCTATAGGTGCATCCAGCAGCGCTCAGTGAGCTCGTTACCTGTTTGGTTCATATTTTTAGATCTAATGGAACATGCCAATCAGATAAAAAATCTCATTGAGCGCTCAGTGAGTGTCGTGCCTGGATGCCCCTATGTGAAAGGGTTTAAACCGAGTTGGTGAAAACGAGCATTATTCCACCATGATTAACAGTTTACCGAAAACATTGTAGATGCGAAAATTCAACGCGCGTGTGGAGAGGCGAAGAGTTTTGCGAAGTTTTGACATATACTCCTACGCGATTTAATATTCTTTGCATTTTTTGTCCCGATAGCCGCAAGCATGTCGAATAAGTTTGAGACGTAAGTGCTTTTATCGTAAGCATGTTTTTTTTTTAGGTTAGTCGCCTGTTGGAGTATTGTCCATTTCTAATGATACATTAACATTATTCTCGGTTTAATTTATTTTTTAAGTTAATCTATATTAGAAATGGACTTGCACTGTACAATGGGACGTACGTTTTAGACAATAATGTCTGTCGCGTTCTCGTCCGAGCGAAATTTCAATCCTCGACGATGAAAAGGATGGTGTAACCACTATTGGTTAAGATTCATGGCTTTTCTTGTGAGACAATGACTTCTTTTATCTTAGGGCGTATTCAGATTTCCACCCGGGTGATCTCCGGGTATCCTGTTATCGTTGTTTAACGTTCGGTAAACAAAGATATAGTTAGCTGGGTGGCACTCACGTGGCAATCTGAACATAGCTTAATGAGTGGTTATCTTGTGTGACGTATTTTATTAACGTAAATAGAATTATTGATTTCTCATTGTTTAATAATAAGAAAAGAACATTGAATCAAGAACAACGATTTATATAGACATCTTGAATGTTTCTACCAATTAAAGGTCTTTTTTGAAAAATGTTATGTTTGCTTACAGTTCCAATATAAAATGATAAATGAAACTAAATATTATATAATTTGAATTTCAACAGTATGATGACTTTTGTATCAGACTTTTAATTGAAAGATTTTTTATGCTTGGTACAGCTATGTAAGTTTTGACTAGATAAGCCTTCAAAAAAGAAAGTTTTGAAAATTTAAAGTTTATAAAAATGAAGAGTGAACATGAATAGTTAAAAAAAATATAGTTGATATTTTATTCATAATTATTTATTTGGTTTACTGAGCAGCAAAGATATCGAATATTTGATATTATTGAATAACAAATTGTTGAATAAACATCCCTATTATTATTATGTAATATATTGTTTTTTTTACTTAAGATCTTCCATCTGTCTTTGCTTTTTATTATACATTTTTTTCATCATTCCAATATTTATTTATTATTAAGTTATGTATGTAAAATACACTACTCAATAAAAAATAGAAAACAATGCTTTCTTGATTTTTTGTATGCGATGATTTTTCATCCCGTTATGGTGTTCTGAATATTGCGCAATTTTGAGCGCATTTGAAAGTGTTCCCCATTTTTTGTTGAGTATATTATATTAACTAAAAACCAGTATTAATTTACTTATAAAAATATAAGAATTTAACAATAAATACCAGTTATATCATAAAATTCATTAAATTAAAAATTGCAAGTCTATCTGACTTTACTATTTAATCATATGGAATTAAATTTATGTTGACTAAAAAAGGCATTAATTAAATATAATTTAATATAACTAAAAGGCTTTCACAGACCCAACATCAATAAGTGTGCTACAGATTTTGACAACAGTTATGGAGGATTAATATGCAACAAATACTTCAAGTATTTGATTTCTGTTACATTTGACTTACAAATTATGATAGTACTTACAGATTGAAAGCCACAGAAGACAGTGGAGATGAGGAGTCTCAATCAAAGGATAATCAAAAGACAGAAAAAGGTTCATTAGTGAGTAAAATAGAGAGCTTGTTGATGATGGAAGTATATTAGTATCAATAAAAGTCTCAAAATCAATATCTTAACAGCCTCCAATAGAGATAAATCCAAATGAGCATAAATTACAATATGCATATGCACTGTGGTACAGTCGCCGTAGTCCTGGCAAGACTAATATACTAAGTTACGACCAAAATTTAAAATTGGTCGGTAGGTTTGCAAGCGTAGAGCAGTTCTGGGGTCTTTACAGTCATTTAGTACGACCATCGGATCTTACGACACACACAGACTTCCATCTTTTTAAAGTTGGTATAAAACCCATGTGGGAGGTAAGCATTGTCTTGTCCTATTTATAGTGAGTGCAAAAAGTACTTGTACAAGTGAGATATCTTAAAAATCCTTATTTTTTGAAGATAAATATTAATTAGCAATTTATTAACAAACTATAAAATAGATTGTTTGTCTTAAAATTATTTTATATCTAAAAACAAATAATTAAAATATATTATTTTAATAATAGAAATGAAATAATAGAAATTGTACTATTTGAACGCACAAAAAGTGTTTGTACAGTTGAGAAATTTAGCTTCCAAGATCATGAACATGGTTATTTCTGTCAAGTTTTTTTGTTTATTTTAGAATAATATAGTCATTGTTAATAAATTGTCGATTTATTTTCTATAAATAAAGCTTTTTTTAAATGAAAATCTTTTCTGTACGAATAATTTTTTGCATTTACTGTGTTTATTGCATGCATATTATATACCAAATTAGTTTCCTTTTTTCTAGGATGAAGCAAATCAAAAAGGTGGCAAGTGGATAGTTAGATTACGAAAAGGTTTAGTTTCTAGATGTTGGGAAAATCTTATATTGGCAATTTTAGGAGAACAATTTATGGTAGGAGAAGAAATATGTGGGGCCGTCGTATCTATAAGATTTCAGGTGAACGAGAGATTACGTCTATATTTTCAATTATATAAAAACAAAAACCTTTTTTTATTGAATGAATTAATTAATTTGATAGGAAGACATAATATGTGTATGGAATAAGACAGCGTCGGATGTGACGATAACAGCGCGGATCAGAGATACTTTGAGAAGGGTATTACATCTTCCGCCTACAGCTACTATGGAGTATAAAACCCATAACGACAGTTTGAAGAATGTACATCGAAATCTCTAAAGTTGTATAATTTCGAAAACGAGACATTAAAACTTCTTTGACAGATCTAAGGTAATTTAAACAATTTGATTTCAAATTATCCAGAAATTTTTCTTTTATTTAGTCATATTACACGCTTTTCTTGATCTGCAGCTGATTCTTGTTATACTTCCCGGGGGATTATGTATCTGACAAGAAAGTAAAAGAGACGTGAAATGTTGAAAAACATTCATTTGACAATACATTTCAATCTTAAGTATCTATGTTGTAATAATATATCTTAATGTAAATAATGACTATATATTAATCATAAATAAATAAATAAATGTTCTTTCCAAGATGTTTAATATGAGGAAAGAATTTGTGGCTGTTTATCCTGTAAGTAGTTAAATATGTATTGTATTTCTGTCCAGTTTTGCAAAAACAGGTTTCTCGAAACGATTGCTGTCTGTATTAACATTAATTCTTATGCAAGGTCTTAGCGCAAAAATATATTTAACAATTCACATATGAACGATAAATGTTTCGATTATGTATCAGGTCATCTTCAATATCTAAATTATAAAAATTATTCGAATGCTACTTGTAAGTAAGACAGGTATTATATGTTATTTGGCGCCACATAAATTACAATTATATTTCAATTAATATGTCGTCTTTTTATTTGTGTGCCTATCGAGATGAAATTCCATATTAATACATAGTTTAAACTTTTCTTTGGATAAGTAACGTTTGAATAACTTTTATAATTTACATACTGAAGATGATCTGATACATGGATAATCAAAACGTTTATCGTTGATATGTAAATTGTCATAAAGTTTCAGTTTCTACACTGAGATTTTACATAGGTTTTTATGCTCCTTTAATGATTAATATTAATTCGGAAGAATTAATATTAATCGTTATTTGAAGAGAAATATTGCGATATTAGAAAAGGAATAATATTTGAGTGAAAGGTTAATTTCAGAAATGTTAAATATTCAATTACAAATTAATAGTTTGAACTTACAATCGGATACGGAGTTTTTGCACTATTTATATCCAAATATTATAAAAAAATTTTAATGATATATGAAGTATTCACCTTAATTGTTTATATTTTACAAAATTGATATTACATTGGTTTGACTCATAATTCATTTATTACTTTGAGCTGACGTGGCTCCTAGATTAAATTAAATTAAACAGTTTTATCACACGTTTGACTTTCTTTAAGATATTACACTCCATATTTCTATATATTTGATAGAAAATTGATCTAGAAAATTTGAAACAAACTTTCCGAACAATATATTTAATTAAGTATGTTAAGATTTTTTTATATTGTATACTATATGTTTTGTATATATGATTATGATCTAGCAACGAAGAGACAAAATAGAAATTCGTAAACTGTAAAATAGAGAAAAAGTTCATTCTCTGTAGGCTTTAGACATTAAATTTCAATGACTGTAGACAAAGAAATTGTATGTATCGACATTGAAAGAAAATTAATTGTGCTCAACACTGGTGAAGATTGTTTAAAAGAAATCGAAACGTTCATAAAGCAATCAGTTTAATCTAATGTGAAATTGTCGACAATATATTAATTGCGCTCCAATTACAATGTATTAGATCTCATTGCTCGGTTATTAACATTTATTACTTTTGTTTAAATTTCAAGAGATTTTATCTATTAAAAAATTTAATATAAAATTAATTCTAGAATTTTTTATGTAAAAACATCAGAAGACATTTACTCTATTTTTCCAGTTTTGCAATGTTATGTCATATGCATGATTTGATAATGAAATTAATTCATAATAAAATAACAAAAAATTTCAATTAAAAATATCGCAGATATTTAAATATTCTTAATTGAAATTTTTGTTATTTTATTATGAATTAATTTTATTATCAAATTGTGCATATGACACATTGTACATGAAACTGTAAGGGATAATAAGATGGAAAAAATGACAATTGTCCATTGCAAATATTTTTAATATTTAAATTTCAATCCATCTTTATATACAGGAAGACCTTCTTATTTAGCTGTACATGAGATCATAGCAATTAGAATATATAAAATGATTATATTATGAATGGCGAGATATATCACAATATATATATGATTATATGTACAATATTGAAAGATGCAAAGTTGAATAAGCTAGCGATGCAAACATTAACATCATTCTTATGTCATCACATTACATCATTTGTAAAGGATGTACATAATTTTTCTTCGATATATATATATATATATACATAATCACGTGGTTTAAATAATGAAATTACATTAAATTCCCAGTAGGCCTGGAAGTGTGTAGTCCACAAACCAGAATATTTCTTATTATACGTTTCAGGACCACCTCACTTTAAAATAGAACTATTTTTATGTAAAATATGACATAAATATTTAGTGTTTTTTACATCAAATATATTTAAACAATATATATAATGTAAATACTTATGTTATCATTATTTATGTACATATATTTATAAAATTATTTAATGATTACAAAAACAAATCCTATCTTGGTCAATATAATGTTGAAATTTATCAATTCGTAGACTAGAATTAAATACATTTTATAAGAAAGAAGGCCTAATGTGTAATAAAGTCTCGTAATAATTGTATGTTTATCTTACGAGTCTCCATCCTGCGTACAAAGTTATCAATTGTATAAAAATCTAATAATTATAGCCCTAAAACGATATTTGCAACCATACCTACAACAAAAAATTCTAGTAATTCTATGTATACATATATATATATATATATGTATACTTATCTATATAATTTCATACTCACCTAATACAAATGAGAATATTAATTTGAAATTCACAGAGAGGTGCAAATAATCAGGAATTTTATGATTTGGTTCTCCCTCAGTGGGTAGAAGCAATCCAATTATGCATATAATTCCTGCAATAAGGGCTACATAATTCGTACCTCCTAAAATATAATTTGTAGCTATTAATGTGTTAATTTATTTAAAAGTAATTGTTTTATTATTATAAATATTATAAATCAATCAAGAATTTATTTTCATATATATTTCACATGTTAATCTAGCTCTAGCATGCACGCACGTACTAATTTAAATTTTGCAAATGCAAATCATTTTGTAATCTAGAAATATAAAATTTTTAATTTAATTTTTTTTTATATCAAATAAAACTCACAATTTATTTAAAAAATTTAAGCTTAACTATAAAGCAAACTTAATAAAAGTAAACCTTTAAATATTTACTTACTTTCTACTGTTTTATTTCGGCTTATGAGAGCATAGGATTCTTGTTGTCGATTCTCATTTATTGGAAGTTGTTGAAACACATCTGGATCTGGTGTTGTTCTGCCAGCTGTATCCACTACACCAGGGAGAAGTTTAGCTTCTACATCTCTTTTTCCAATTATCTAGTAAAATTAATAGAATTTAAAGCTGGAATGAGCGTTTCTTTCAATCACTAGTGTCATTAATTATACTACCTGCTTAGTAGGATATTCGTGCATGTGTATCCTGAATTTATCAATCACATTACAATTATTCATCAAGATTGCTACATGTCTGACAACAATATCGACACAAGAACTGGCTTTTATTATGCCTTCTGGATCAACTACTTGATATTTGTATGGCGCAGTACATAACACTAAAATAATAGGATTTATTAGATAAACATAAGGTCGAAATTAAATACTCTTTTGTCAGCAAAAGAAAAAAACAAAGAGTCACCTCTGAATTTTACAGGAAATTCATATGGATTGTACAAAGTTAACACTTGCTTATGTGTGGACTGATCGTCCAAGTAGAACGTAATATTTTGTGGAAACACAAAGATTGGTAATTTTCGAGGTGTAGCTGCTGACGTCAATGACATTGTTCTTTCTTTATCTTAATCTGTCCATATATCTGCAATACAATGCTCAATATCTCATACATGAATATTTATAGTTTAAATAATATTTTCCTGCACTTTGCTCCTCCTTTCTTATGTACAAAATTGTATATATAATTATCAAAACCACTTGTTAACGAGTTATTAATTTTTTATTACTTAATCTTATAATAATATAATAAAACTCACGTACTGTGAATTTTACATGGAGTAAAGATATAAAGAAATAATATTTCATAATCGCAGTAAGTACAGTACAAGTTACAGAATCACGGTTAAAGACAATTCACTACTTTACACACACAAAAATTAAATACATGACCAAAAATTGCACCAAATTTCTTGATCTTTGCAACTTACTCGGAGAAAAATAAAGCAATATCCGATTGTTGTCAATCAAAAATTAAAAATTGCGAAAAGCGGCGAAATTATCCAATTTATATACAGAAATGAGCGATCCAAGGCGCCTCGTTGGATCGGACTTCACGCCGCGCCGAAATAGAAATGTGAAAAGGGTTCATGTATATGTAAAATATTTACAAACAATCGCGTATCCCATAATCCCATACATCGCTGCAACTCCGCAACGCAGCCAACATTTGCCAACAATCGTGATCGCGCAAGGCTGCGTTGCTGCGTTCCAAAACATAAGGATGATTACATGTAGCGTGATACAATAACGCGGGTTCACACGTTGACGGAAGAGCAGTAGCCAATCAGAACTCGCGTTGGTAATAAGTGGTACAAAACTAACAGAAAGTCGACTACCAGCGCGAGTTCTGATTGGCTACTGCTTTTCCGCTTTCCACTTTTCCGTCAAGGTGTGAAACCGTCCTCATGCATCATGTATATGGTTCCTGCACATTGGACGCGGAAACGCTTGTCGCTCGGCAAAATGTGAGGCAATAACCAATGAACATGTTAGGAGCTGTAAGTTTATTGGCTGCCACTAATATTTTCGAATGCAGCTCTGATTGGTTGCATGGTTACGCGGCAAATACGCCTCATGGGACTGCAGCCTGATACGAAAATAATTGATGAATTTCTCATCATTATAAAAATGTAATTGTCTTATAAGATCGTTACTCGCTTTATATCGTTTTCTATTACCAGTTGAAAAAATTGGATAAACCCAATATTTTCGTTTTTCCACTGCTTTATTTTTATTTGTATATTTAATAAATACAGAGCTCTAATTAGTATATCTTTAATAAATTTAATCTCCGCCGTTATGCGATCAAGTGTTTCTGATGATATTTTTGTAATGGAAAACAGTAAAATGAACAGTGCTAGCTGATTACCCGTATTATATACGGTTCCACCAGTATCCGGGTTTTACATTATCCGATTCCTTTTTCAAGCTCTAATATATTGTATATATAGTACAAATATTACACTGAAATTGTAAGGTTCTGTAGGCAGAGGAAGACAAAAATTGAACTGTTTTTTTAACAAATATGATCGGATAGACGCGAAGAATGTAATTATTTTCTTATTATATATTTCCAACAGAGAGAGAGAGAGAGAGAGAG